CCTCAGCCAAATATTGTGCTATCCTAACAAACCATACATCAATGAAGAGATGATTTATTCAGCTTTGTGCGAGGATCACCTGCTGGGTAAATGAGCTCTCTTCCCGAGGAGCGACGCCGTCAGCGGCTCGTCTTTGAGCTCCTTCTTCATCATCGCAGGCCGACCGCGCAGACGAGGAGCTCCGTCACACGCCGCCATCATCTCCCTGAGACACACACACACATCAGCAAGCGTTATCCTGCTCGAATACAACTCAAACTATTAAAACACTGCTGTTATTGACAAATTGCTGAAATAACATAAAACAGAAATATTGTGCGAGGATCACCTGCTGGGTAAATGAGCTCTCTTCCCGAGGAGCGACGCCATCAGCGGCTCGTCTTTGAGCTCCTTCTTCATCATCGCAGGCCGACCGCGCAGACGAGGAGCTCCGTCACACGCCGCCATCATCTCCCTGAGACACACACACACATCAGCAAGCGTTATCCTGCTCGAATACAACTCAAACTATTAAAACACTGCTGTTATTGACAAATTGCTGAAATAACATAAAACAGAAATATTAAAAAAAACTAAAACTAATAAACATGACAAAAGCATACAACAAATTCAACTTAAAAATATGAAAAACATTTTTGTTCATCTATATAAATCTGAAATAATATAAACTATAAATATTAGAATGAAAAATTTTATTTGTAATTTAGAAACTGAAATAAGTTAAAAATAAGTTGAAGCATTAATGGAAATAAAAAAAATGGAACTAAAACTGAAATAAACAATTAAAATAGCAATATTAAAAAAAACTAACTAAACTAAATATTGAAAACGTGTCTTCATAGAAATAATGCTGATATGAAATAAAATATAAATACTAGATTTAAAAAAATGATTACCTAACATTTAAGGTGAAGTACTATAATTACTAACTAACTAACTAACTAACATGGAACTAAACTAAAACTGAAACCTACATAGTAATATTATAAAAACACAAAACTAACAAAAATGACAAAAGCATAAAAAAATTATTTAATTGATCTAAAAATAAATTAATAAATTTATCTAAAAAGAAATTAAATGAAAACTATTAAAGCCATTTTGTTCATTTAAATAATGCTAAAATAAATTAAAATGAAAATACGTAATACTTAAACTAAACAAAATTAGAAACTGAATAAAATTATTAATAAAGTTGAAGATCTGAAATTGCTAACTAAAAATAAAAATTTTAAATAAATGTAAATCGTAATATTTAAACTAGTAAAAAAGACAAAAGCACAAACTAAAAATTATTAAAATTAAAACTCAAAATATAAAAATAAAAATGAAAGCTATACTAGCACATGAGCCAGGATTCAGACTGATCAGCTCTGTGATTCTCGTCTCTCTCAGACCTCTACAGAACATCAGCAGTGTAACACATGCTTACTGACTGAACTCTATACGCAGAATTAAACGCTGAGAGAGCAAAATCCAGCCCTGATCCAAAAAATGGAAATTCATTCATGCTCCATGTGCTCAGAAAACTCAGAAACGCTGCAGAAGAAGAAATCGATAGTGAACGCACAGACAGAACGAAACCTCACACAATGTTTGTCCATCTGATTTAAAAGGATCATATGATGCGATTTCAAGTTGTTCTTTCTCTTTGGAGTGTTACAAGCTGATTGTGCATAGATAAGATCCCTGAAGTTGCAAAGACTAAAGTCTCTAAACCAAAGAGATATTCTTTATCAAAGTTAAGACTCTGCCACGCCCCCCTAAAACGGCTCGTTCTATTAATTTTTTAGATGTTTATATAAACCCTAAACATTAAAATATGATTCACATATTAAATATGCATTGTTAGGAACAAAACTTTAACGCATTCGTAGCGCATTAGTCGACGCATTCAGAACTGGTCTCCATCACCGAGTATAATTAACTGGAAATAAATAACTAAAACTAAAACAGAGTAAAATAAATTAAACCTAAGTAGTAATATTAAAAAATAATAAAACTAATGAAAATTTAAAAAAACAACAACAACTGAATATTAAACAAAAACCATTAAAAATATTTTTTGTTCATCGAAATAATGCAGAAATAAAACAAACCATAAATATTAAAAATGAAAATTAGAAGCACTAAAATGTCTAACGGGAAATAACTAAAATGGAACTAAAACTGAAATAAAAAATTAATTAAACCTAAATAGTCATATTAAAATATAATAAAATAAATAAATAAACAAATAAAACTACTAAAAACAGGGGGGAGGGGGTAATAACATTAATAAATATTAAACTAAAACTACTTAACAAAAACTAACTAACTAAATAAAAATTCATAAAAATTGAAACAAAAATACATTAAACCTGAACAGCAATATTAAAAAAAATAATACACAAGCATATAAAAACACAAAAACTAAACTAAATTAAAATGAAAAGTAAGTTTTAATTCAAAATAATAATAAAAATGATAAATAATTAAGCTTTTACATGCTTAATTTCATCCAGCGGTTGTACAGTTGTAATCCAGGTTTATATGAAAATGTCTTCATGAGTCAGATTACATCAACGTACCGAGAATACTTTTTTGCGCAAAGAATCTCTACTGCGTCACTTGTGGATGCGCGTTCACGACAGTATCATGACGCGAGCGTGTGGCGGCGCTGACCCAGATCCGGCGTCATGACGCTATCACGCCGGATCTGGGTCAGCGCAAAAAAGTATTCTCGTAGCTTCGTAGCTTTACAGTTGAACCGCTGAAGTCACACGCACTACTTCGTCGATCATCTCGGTACGTTTCTGGACCTTGATCGTGGTAGTTACCTTGCTGTCTATGGGAGCCCTCAGGTTTCATCAGAAATATCTTAAATTGTGTTCCGAAGATGAACGAAGGTCTTACGGGTTTGGAACGACACGAGGGTGAGTAACTAATGACAGAATTTTCATTTTTGGGTGAATTATCCCTTTAAAGTCCCCATGAAATCAAAATTAAAGTAGTTAGTATCAATATGTTAGTCTTAAGGCAGTGTGCTCCAAAACAGTGACAAAATTCGCATTTAGAAGATATAACCATTCAAAGATTTTTTTTGACGTCACATCGTACTTCAGCTTCTCATCAAACTTTCTGTCCAATCAAATGCTCTCTAGAATCCGAAGCCCCGCCCCCTACACTATAAATAGACGCTGAAGCCGCGGCTGAGATCGGTCGCTTGTCCACAGAGTTAATATTTTCTGTGCAGTGAATGGCACGTAGTGCACTATATAGGGGACAGGGAACGACTCAAACAGTGCAAACATGCTTTCCATTGAGGAAGAAAAGAAGTCTGCTCCGGTCCAGAGACACGATAGCACGGAGCGGATCACATGCGCGAGTCGCCGCAGAACACACAATGTATCGGAGCTATCTGAATGCAACACAGAATGCTATATTTTATAGCAATATGGATGAGATCGTGGCTGGCATACTCTGCGGCTTTACGGAGCTCAACGGCTCTGAACGGCTCTAGCCTCAGCTGTGATATAAACCAACGCTATTGGCTATTTTAAAAAGGGGTGGGGCTGCTTGATATGTCCCGCCCCGTCTTCCTGTTTCAGTTAAAATGACGTCAACACAGAGAGTAACGCTGCGTGTTTCTAAGCATTTCAGGGGACCTTTAAGGGAGCACTGAACTGCATTGTGGGAGACGGTATCTCAGTTTGATTGACAAACCTGTTGTCCACATGGCTGATCTCCTCGCTCCCATCTTCCTCCTCCTCCTCCTCCTCCTCCTCCTCCTCGTCTGGACACAAGCGTTTGGTCACAGGGATGAAGGTGATCTGCTTCTCTCCTCCGAGCCGGTCGGGAAGCACCACCTCCTTCTTCATGTTCATGTCAGAATACGGGCAACCGAAGGCACTGAGGGACACAGAGAGACGAGCATGAGCCTGTCTGATCCAGGTCTACAGTAATACTCTCATCTGTTCTTAGTCTCTTTGTGCAAAACATTTAATTGCTGCTTCTGGATAAACTGAGACTTTTTTATTTTTAATGGAGGTTGTAGTTCTCTCACAATTCTGAAGAAAAAACAAAACCTCATGGCATTTATGAATGGAATGATTCAATGACTCACTCAAGATTCACTCGTTTCATTACTGGATGAATCAGTGTTTTTGAATGAATCTCTTGAATGAATGATTCAATGACTCACTCAAGATTCACTCGTTTCATTACTGGATGAATCAGTGTTTTTGAATGAATCTCTTGAATGAATGATTCAATGACTCACTCAAGATTCACTCGTTTCATTACTGGATGAATCAGTGTTTTTGAATGAATCTCTTGAATGAATGATTCAATGACTCACTCAAGATTCACTCGTTTCATTACTGGATGAATCAGTGTTTTTGAATGAATCTCTTGAATGAATGATTCAATGACTCACTCAAGATTCACTCGTTTCATTACTGGATGAATCAGTGTTTTTGAATGAATCTCTTGAATGAATGATTCAATGACTCACTCAAGATTAACTCGTTTCATTACTGGATGAATCAGTGTTTTTGAATGAATCTCTTGAATGAATGATTCAATGACTCACTCAAGATTCACTCGTTTCATTACTGGATGAATCAGTGTTTTTGAATGAATCTCTTGAATGAATGATTCAATGACTCACTCAAGATTCACTCGTTTCATTACTGGATGAATCAGTGTTTTTGAATGAATCTCTTGAATGAATGATTCAATGACTCACTCAAGATTCACTCGTTTCATTACTGGATGAATCAGTGTTTTTGAATGAATCTCTTGAATGAATGATTCAATGACTCACTCAAGATTCACTCGTTTCATTACTGGATGAATCAGTGTTTTTGAATGAATCTCTTGAATGAATGATTCAATGACTCACTCAAGATTCACTCGTTTCATTACTGGATGAATCAGTGTTTTTGAATGAATCTCTTGAATGAATGATTCAATGACTCACTCAAGATTCACTCGTTTCATTACTGGATGAATCAGTGTTTTTGAATGAATCTCTTGAATGAATGATTCAATGACTCACTCAAGATTCACTCGTTTCATTACTGGATGAATCAGTGTTTTTGAATGAATCTCTTGAATGAATGATTCAATGACTCACTCAAGATTCACTCGTTTCATTACTGGATGAATCAGTGTTTTTGAATGAATCTCTTGAATAATCTAAATATAAAAACCTATAAAAATGTATAAAATATAAAAATATTTGCAAAAGCAACATCTCATTTTCATTTACATTTTTTACTTTTATTTTTCATTTAACTGTACGTGCTAAAATAACTAAAACTGAAATAAAAATTAATAAAAACTATACAGGCACATTAAAAAACAAATGACAAATACACAAAACTAAATAACTAAAACATTTAACAAATTAAAATAAAAAAATTATATATATTTCATTAAAATAATAATAGTACAGCTAGTATAAATAACAGTATCTCAATGATACTAAAAAAGTTCAATGTGTTTACTGCAATCCAGTGTTATTTTAGTATTGAGATAATATTTTTATTAATATTGTGAATTATTTTTATGAATACATTTTCCTTTTCCATTTTAATTTTCTTGCGTTTTTTTTTTTTTTTTTTAAAATAAATGTGTATATAGTTATTATTTTATTTCAGTTTTAGTTATTTTAGTAACAAAATATTATTTTATTACTTTATTTCAGTCAACATTTTTTCATTTCACAATACATATATATATAAAAAAAATAAAAAAAAACGGTATTAATTTTAGTTTCAGTTTTACTTTTAGTTAACTACAATAACCATGCTACAATTAAAAAATAAATAAATAAATCATGCAACCGAAAATGTTATATTAAAAGTTCAATCCTCGTCCAGATATATGTACAGTAGTTACTAGAAGAGGAATATGCTTGAGGCGAATATGTTTATGTAAGACAGATTTCAGATTCCTGCTGCTTCTACAGTAATTCTCATCAAGTCAGCAATACGAGGAGGAGGATTCTGTGGCATATTTTCTGATATTTTAGTAAGGCAAAAACGCCAATTCCACACCAGTGTGCCAAGATGTTTATGCAGATCTGTGCATGCAAACAGATTCAAAGGCTTCAGTGTGAACACAAGAGAAGCAGCTTCTGCCACGTCTTACAGTTCATTACAGCTGACGAAGCACATGCATTTAATTCAACACATTTCACATATGTTAACGAGAGTATTCAAGCCATCCCCCACACCTGAACCCTCAGAGGTCTACGGTGCAGTTAAATGAGTCTGAGATAACGATTTAACACATGTAGTTCTGTATAAGAGCGCTCCACACATTCACACAAATACAGCATGTGTGCAGAGAATCCTGAACTCCAGATTAAACCTCACAGTGCAGAGGGCACCTTTCTTATTTAATGCAAGGACTGAGAGAAATGTATTTTACTTTAAATGCAATGTAAAGTTCTTTGGATTAAATTGCATTGAAAAGAGTAATGTAAAATGGGCTGGTCACTCTTTTCAATGCAATTACAACAAATAATAACAGCAAATGTGGCAGTAGTACATATGATTTGTGCACTATATTACAAATCTTTTGAAGTATCTGAGTGAGAAATAGAAATGTTGCATTATATTTAGCGCTGTCGAACGATTAATCGCATGCAAAATAAAAGTTTTTGCTCACATAATATATGTGTGTGCATTGTGTATATTTATTATGCATATATACTGTAAATACACACACATGCATGTATATATTTAAGAAAAATGTTATGCTTATATATTAAATATATATATATAAATTATATGCATAGTGTGTATATATATATATATATACACATAATATATACAAACAGTACACACACATATATTATGTAAACACACACACACACTCAGACTACTTTAGACTGCAATTAGAATTGCATAAATAATGGTATGATATAAAAAGAAACCGAATACTGAAATATGAAATAACAACTTTACATGTTTCTCATCCTACACTATAACACATAATAAGTTCATTTCTAATAAAGCATAACTGATGACGCTCCAGCAGACGAGGCAGGAGAAGATTATGAAGTTGCTTTGATGACTCATTTTAATGTGTTAAATTAACTATGTAGTTTACTGTACGTCTCATATAAACCGATACTGAGCGTCAAACTGATTTAACTCTGGAGGACGTTCATTAAAATCCACGAACACGGAAACGCACCGTGACACTACGCTTCTGCTTAAATAGCTAGTTTGCATATGCAGATACATGTAAATGAGCTTTTAATGAAAGCCAGTCCAGTCGGTTTCTAAGCAGAGAGGATTTCGCTGCTTTAAAACGCTTCTTTTCTTATTCTGTCTTGCTCTGTGTAATCAGAAATGGCTTTCTAAAAAAAAGCCGAATCCTTTCACGAAAAAATTAGGGTAAATTTTGGGCTCGTTTATGGTTTGTTTGTGAGCAGACGCTACTGAGAGAAACTCTCTCAAACTCTGAACTACAGCTGCCAAGCGATTCACATTTGCATCTAATTAAATAAATGATTTGTCAATTAATCGCACATCAATTAAGGCTAAGAAATTACCCCTTAAAAGTTCATTTAAAGTCATTATTGTGTTAAATAAGAAAAGCACTGAAGTAACTTTTGAAAGAAATCCTTCAGCATTCAGCATATAACTTAATACGCATAAACGTTTAATGCTACAATTTGTCCGTACGATTGTTTTCAGAAGCGCCATTTAGGAATATTTACACTGTTCAGACATGGCATGAATGCATTTATACCACAATTAGAATTACATAATCCTGAGATAAATGGGTTTTTAAAAAGAAATCAAAATTTTGAAATATTAAATGATTTTTAAAAAATTAAACTGTCCGTAGTGGGTGAGTCATTGAATCATTCATTCAACCAATTTGTTCAAACGGCTGATGCATTCAGAAATGAAGCAAGTGACCGTCTGCATGAAGGAATCACTGAATCATTTGATTCGTTCAGTAATGAATCACTGCTGTGTGTTGATCAGAGACGCTCAACAGTTCTGCTGTGGCTTTGATTGGAACTATTTTTTTATTTATTTATGAAATTGACTAAAAACAGACAAACGGTCTCTAAAATGTAACACTAGTTGAACATCTTGTTTATTGAACTGCTGTATGAATCAATATCACATTTGCAGTGGTGCAGATACTGGGGAAGAACAGCATTTCATATGATATAATATAATATAAGAGGGTCATTTATATATTTATTTTTCGCTTCTGTATCTGTACTTCTTGTTATTTTGTCTGTGCATTACAAGCTTCTGTTACCAAGACAAACTCATTGTCTGTGTGTGTGTTTACGCATACTTGGCAATAATTCTCATTCTCACATTTTCACAGAATGGAAAAGTGTGATGTGAAGGCTGTTTTATATCCTACTGAATAAAGAGTAAGTGATGAAGAATGATGGTTGAGGTGTATCTGTGCGTCTCACCTGTGGTGTCCGGTGTATTTTGCTCCTTTGATGTGGCCGATGCCCCTGCAGCCCGGGGTTGGACACACGCCCTGCGTCACGGAGCTCTTCATGTCTGACAGCCCTGCGTGAGCTGCAGAAAAACACAACACACACACACACACACACACAGAGAGAGCGAGAGAGAGAGTGAGCACGGGACATCAGCCTGCAGTAGAAAGGCGTTTGTACAGCGTTACTCGTCCTCTAGTGAGCAGCAGCTATTTCAGTTAATCACACACTTCATACATCATGCTAAACACAGTAAAATTTCACATCTTTCAGGTCAGGCCAGTAATTCATCATGTGATCTATAAGTGTGGCATAATGGGAACAGACACACACACACTCACTCTCTTTCTCTCACTCACTCACTCACACAGAGACATGCACACACACACACACTCTCTCTCTCACACACACACACACACACACACACACTCTCTCTCTCACACACACACACACACACACACACACACACACACAGTGACACTCTCTCACACTCACACACACACACACAGAGACACACACACACACACACACACTCTCACACACTTCAGGTGGATGCACCTACGGTACAAGCTCTCAAATCTGCATTTAAAATTCTGCATAAACGTGGATTAATTTTACCAGTATACTTTTAGTACTATTTTAGTTAAACTAAATGCAAATGAGAAATTTCGCCTTGGCAACTCACTGAAATAAAATGTTTTTTAAATTTTTCTTAAAATTAAAACTGCACAGTATACAATAAATTGTTGATTTTGATGTTTTGAATGAATTTTGGGTTTGTATGTTTTATTGAAGTGACTTTTATTGTTGTGGATTCATGTAGTTTTTGTATTTTCTTACTTGCTTTTTAATGTATTTCTTTATTTGGATCCAAACAAACAAACATTTTTTTTTCAGTTAACGTTTACTTGAAGCAAAATATTTTTTTTATGGTTTTAGGTTTAGCTTTAGCTAAATCTCAGCAAGACATATTTCTCAATAATGTACTTTATATGGCGACTGTGTGCTCTTATGCACGAGCTTGTATTGCAGCTCAAGCATCTGTCGTGCGAGTGTGAGAGCAAGCAGAGACTCACGGAGCGGAGGTTCGAGCGGGTGACCCGTCCTGGAGCACCAGCCCACGGGATGAAGATCCGGCAGGTCTGAATCCACCCAGAAATCAAACTTCTCATGCCAGCCGTCGAAATGCACCTGAGCAACAATAAACCAAACCACAATAACAGACCAGCATTCATTCGGATCATTCACATACAGTTTCTCTTAGTCTAAAAATGAACCAATAAATGAATTATTTGGTTACACTTTATTTTAAGGTGTCCTTGTTGCACATGTTACATGTACTTACTATTATAATAACAATAAATTATGCATAATTACATAAAAGTAACAACCCTATATAGCAAGTACATGTAGTTAAATAATATTACTCAGTACTACACTGTAACAAGGACACCTTAAAATAAAGTGCAACCAATTATTTTCTTCACAGATAGAACTATATACACTCATTCAAAAGATTTGGGTTCAGGAAGATTTAAATTTTGATTAAAATTAAAATTTCTTAGTTTGTGTTAACTAATGCAGTTAACTAATGAACCTTATTGTAAAGTGTTACTGAACTTTCTGTTCATCTGTGAATCCTGAAAAATAAAATGCATCACGGTTTCCACAGAAATAATTGTGCAGAACAACTGTTTTCAACATTGATAATAATCAGAAATGTTTCTCGAGCAGCAGATCAGCATATTATACTGATTTCTGAAGATCATGTGACACTGAAGACTGGAGTAATGATGCTGAAAATACAGCTGCGCATCACAGACATACATTACAGTTTAACAGAGATTCACATAGACAACAGCTGCTTTAAACTGTAATAATATTTCACAATTTTACTGTTTTAGCTGTACTTTGGATCAAATAAATGCAGGCTTGGTGAGCAGAAGAGCCTTCTTAAAAAAACATGAAAAATCTTACTGTTCAAAAACTGTTGACTGCTAGTGTAGGCTGATTATTCTTATTGCTTATTATTGAAAATGCAAACTGCTTGTCTGCCAGCAGGAGGCGCTGTGAGAGCGGTAGAACTAGCGGTTTCCCCAGTAACGAACCGCTCATGAACGCTACTTTATCAGATCAAATGAAAACGCCACGAAACTATTCTAAAGACAGTCGGTTCCCTTCAGAGATGCATTCATATAAAACACCCGCGCGTGTTATGATTTTGAAACGTGCAGAGCTCATGTTTATTCAACGAAGTAAAACGCCACAAATAAATCAATGTACGGCAAACACTGGTAATCGGAATATCGTAAATGTGTTTAAAAATCATATCACCGTTATTGAAAACAATTATAGGCGATACATATTGATATTGAATTATTGTCCAGCCCTATGTAAACGTAAACAATAAATCATCAGTCTATTTGCTCTTGCATGAAAACCATTGAGTCTAATGATGTTTATCAGGAATGTTTACAAAGACTGCGGATGATTTAATCAGTCACGCTGTGACTAGAAGCCGAACTCTTCCTCACTTGGACTCTGTGGTCTTCGGTGTCGGCGACGGTGGCCACGCGGATCAGCATGGGGTTTCGTCTGTCCACCGCCTCCAGCTTCATGTGCGTCTGGAAGCCGTGTGGAGATCTCTGCAGGAGCACACAGCGCTCAGAACACATCTATTTCAGCTTACTGACAGATTCTAGAAGATACACTCTTCAAACAGTGGTACAAGAGGATGTGACGCTGGTCACTCGCAACTTATCCGTCTATAAAGCCTATAAAAAAATCAGTCTTAAGCCTGGTTTCACAGACAGGGCTTAGGCTAAGCCAGGATTCGGCCATAGTTCAATTAGGACATTTAAGTTATTTTTTATAAACGTGCCTTAGACGTGCCTGGTGTGCATCTCGAGACAAAACAAAGGCACTGATATATTTAAAGATCAATCAGTGCCAGTTTCTTTCAGCTGAAACAGCTCAGACTTACACTTTAGTCTGGGACTAAGCTTAAGCTTTGTCTGTGAAACCAGGGGTTAATGTATTTCACAACACTTCAGCATGTTATTCTTATTAAGCGAGGGTCATCTTTTATGATTTTTTACCCAAGCACAGCCTCTGAGAACCTGAAACATTGCACTTCTGGAGACTCCAGGAAGGTTGCGGTTCTGGAAAATGATGGTGCTGGAGACTAAAGGGTTCCTGATGGTTTCACACCTAATTCTTCACATTAATTATGTGTGCAGTTTATCAATTCTAGTCACATTTACATCTACAGTGCTTTAAACAACACAGATTATTTCAGAAGCAGCTTCATAATAATAAACCGGAAAACAACAGAATCAATTCTGTTATTAAATTCTACATCTGTGCAGGACTGCAAGACGGCTTCATTCATCACTGTGCATTTAATTACAACTCGCACTGGGTAATTAGTGTTTGACAGTTAGTCTGTGGTGCAAATAAATGAGTCTGAATAGAAAGAGCCAATACGAGATGTTGACATTAACTCTGAGCGCAAATATAAGTCATTTCGAGTGGAACCGCAAGAGTTTGTCCTTCCAGATGAGCAGTTTTGTGCTGTTTGCTCCTGTAAATAACACGAGGAGGGTTTAATACCCAGCGTCTGTAATGAAATCTCTCAGCTCACCGCACACCATCACATCAGACGTGAACGCCGTGCGCTACAGACGTGTGAATCTCAACACAAGATCTGTTGATCTTCCATCTCATCCACGAGCGGTCCTCTCTAAACGCTTCTGCATGCAGTCATGTGACAGCAGTAACACTGAACGCATGAGGAATATGATTCTCACCCTGAGGAGCTGTGAGCGGCCGGCCGTGATCCTGACACCAGCCCACCGGGTGAATGTAGGGGCTGCTGGCGTCACACCTGAGCAAACACAGAACACACCGTCAACCTGCTGGACTCACTTCATAACACATCATTTTTGTTTTATTTAAATTTGAGTAATTTTCTTATGTGCACTTGTCATTCTCATTTATTTTCATTTTATTTATATTTTAGTAATTTTCTTATGTGCATTTTTCACCTTTGGAATTTTAGTCGGTGTGTAGTGTGTATGTTTGGGCATAAAAAAGATTACAAATCTCAAAGTCAGATTACAAAGTCAGTTTGTAATCAATGACGAGACTACAGTGTTTCCCTTCTGAAGGAAAACGACTGTCTTCAGAAAATTGGATGTCATTTTCATGTAATCTTGCATGTGATGTCTGATAAAGCCGTGTTTGTGAGCGGAGCTGCTGTGTGTACAGCATTACCGGGGAAACCGCTATCTCTACTCCAACAGCGCCTCCTGCTGGCAGAGAGTGAGTTCGCATATATATGCCGCCTGGGAAACACTGGACTATGGTATTAATAATTTCAACTGTATAACAGTTTCACTGCAATTCATGTTATAATGTTAGAATTAAATAACAGTAAAAATAATACATATGCACTTACCTGTACATAGTAAATACAGTTATATTTAAGCGGTTGTTGACATCCTATCTAAAACGTGTCTTGCATGTGATGTCTGATAAAGCCGTGTTTGTGAGCGGAGCTGCTGTGTGTACAGCATTACCGGGGAAACCGCTATCTCTACTCCAACAGCGCCTCCTGCTGGCAGAGAGTGAGTTCGCATATATATGCCGCCTGGGAAACACTGGACTATGGTATTAATAATTTCAACTGTATAACAGTTTCACTGCAATTCATGTTATAATGTTAGAATTAAATAACAGTAAAAATAATACATATGCACTTACCTGTACATAGTAAATACAGTTATATTTAAGCGGTTGTTGACATCCTATCTAAAACGTGATTTAGTAGAAAAAAAAAACTTTTTGCAGTGCAACCAATGATGCAAGGCTTGTTCATCCAACCAAAGGAATGATCATTATTTCTGCATATTGCACTTCAATGGTACGACAGGGCAAGTGTGTTTACAGCGTGTGAGGGCTTCTGGCCGTATATCTAGAGACACGCAGCTTCTCCTGCTGGACGCAGACAGTAATAGCACGCTCTCAGACTGCATGGTGTGTCTCGGACTCTAACTCTACCTGGTCTTCCTCTCCAGGGCTTTATTCGCCCAGCAGTGACGTGATGCGGTGCGTTATGTAAAACACACACATCACCGAAACAAACGCGAATCAATCAGGCATCATAAACACTCCTTACATAAGCATGGGCGGATAGTAATGCGATCCTATTAATGTGCTGGAGAGATGATGATGAGGATGATGATGATGAAGATCAGAGAACACACATATACAGTCACAGCCTCCGCAGAATATCACACACACTTCCATTACACCAAACCTCCTATAAACAATCATGGTTATGCTACTGTGATCTTTATCTCGCAGCACCTTTTTAAAATGCATAGAATATTCATATATTCATTAGAGGTTTTGCATATTTGGGAACTTGAACAGATTATATACATACAGCTCTTATTACTTATATTTTAAATGAGCATTTTTAAAAATTTTAACTTTTTTCATTTACATTTTTTGATTTTGTTATGTGCTTTTCTCATTTTTTTCTGTTATTTGTATTAAATATTTCAATTTATCTTTAAATTAATTTCAGTTGCGGTAATTTTCTTATGTGCTTTTGTCATTTTTATTAAACATTTCAATATATCTTTAATTTATTTTATTTCAGTTTTATTAATTTTGTTATGTGCATTTGTCATTCTCAATTATTTTTATATTATTCAAATTTTAATCCTTTTCTTGTGTGCATTTGCCATTTTCATTTTTCTTTATTTTATTTAATTTTAGTAATTTTGGTGCTTTTTAATATTACTTTTTAGATTTAATTTATTTTATTTTACTTCTAGTTTTAGTTAAGAGTTACTTTTTATTTTTTTAACAGTTATTTAATTCATTTAATTAATTTAATTTAAATGATTCAACTTGAACTTTAGTATTATTTACATACTATTATAGTTTTTATTCATATTTTAGATGTTATTTTTATATCTTCAGACTTACGTCATGTCATTTTTATTTATCTTTATTTTATTTCAGTTTTTGTAAATGTAGTACTTCAACCTAATATAGATACATGGTAACATTGCTTCAAGTAATATTATGGTATTCTCATGATATAAGTGGATTACCATGGCATTTACCCGTATAACCGCACAAAGAAGGCCTGTGTGTTTAACTAGCATGACTGTGACGGGTTAGTTAGTGCTCCTCACCAGTAGTCGTAAGTGTCGTCCCAGTTGTCGAAGTGCACTAGGAAGCGCTGGTCCACGATGTCGGCTACGGACGCCACACACACCAGACACGGGTTCTTACGATCCACCGCCTCCAGCTTCATGCCCACCTCAAACACCGAGCCGCTCGACTCCTGTGACGAGAAACCGCTCGTTAGTGGCACTCACAACATCTCTAATCTGTGTTCAGATCAAATGTAATCTCAGGAAGAATATGACGCAGGAGAAGAAAGTTCAACACTATTCAGCAATAACTAAAATTAAACACAAATGTGTCATGTTTGATTATTAGCTTGGTTGAAGGTCAGCAGCAAAGACATTTGTTCATAAAATGGGATTAAATACATAAACAATATTTGTCTTATTTAACATATCTAATTATTGCAGGTTTGTATAATATTCTGAGTTTGCATTGGACTGTTTTTATTGATTCTGAGGAATGCTGAATGTGTTTTTGAGTAAACACATGTTGATATTGAGTCTAGAGCTACAGTAAGATCATGTTCACACACAACGCTCTGCACTGACTACTGATTGCTGTCACCGTGACAACACCAGAGCTGTCACTCAACACACGGAAACAAAGTAACTCAGACTTCCTTCTAAATGAACAAGTAATGCGTTACTTTCCTAGTTACTTTAACAAAGTAATGTGATTATGTAACTCGTGTTTCCCTCAACACTGGTAATGACGGACTTACGCTGGATCTGAAGAGGTTCTCTGGCGCTGCTTGAGCGTTACAGGCCTCCAGATACTTCTCCCAGTTAAACTCGTTCTGCTTGTAACCTGACCACACAACACACAGAATACATCAATCAGAAAGATGACGAGACTTAACACATCCGGGTCACATTTCACCTTAAAATCTAAAGAAAAATTGAAGGAATAATATTTCACATAAACACAAATGCATGAAGTAGTATGGCATTTTAAAAATAATAATTAAACACATTTCGCAAACCGATAGCGCTTGCTTCAGCGATTCCCATTACTGCAAGATTTTATTTACAGTATTAAATGAATTAATAAATAATAAAATAAACAAATAAATAAAAATAAAATCAGAATAAGCTAAAGAGTGTTCAACAAACACGACAATGATTTCTTTTCCAGAAAAAATATTTAAACACCCTTTAAACAAGACAAATTCATATAAATTTTTTTTCTCATTTTGTGGTGACTCCAGACATCTTCTGGACTGCTTTAATGAGATTCCCCCATCAGCTCCATATACTGGATTTAATCTAGTATTCTCAATGTCCCAGCTCATATCTAGATACCATGTTTATTATCTTACAGAAGACCAAACAGCAGGCACAGGATGATAATGGAGCCCAATGCAGCAGAACTAACGCACCTTTGGGCGGATGGAGTTTGTGGCCCGTCGACTCGCACCATCCTGCTGGTTTGACGTCAGGAGCGTCTGCGTTTACCCAGAAGTCATAGCACTCGGAGTAACCATCGATATGCAGCCGCAGACGGAAGCCAATCACCTTCAACAACAACGACAGGAATCTCAATCTCAAGCAGACACGTTAACACGATGCTACACTCACCGGCAATCCTCTAAACAAGCACAAAAACACAACAGATCAGAAGAAATCATCCATTTAACTTCAAAGCAATTCATTTCTACATTGTTTTATGCATTGCAGCAATGCATTCTGGGACAACCTCCTCTCTGAAGAATACACGTGCATCTGCTTTTTGTTCATAATTTAAAGCCACGACAACAGCTACATTCATCATGAGAAACATTAAATAAATAAAAAGTATATACAAACATCAAACAAAAACAAAATGCATTAAAAAAGGAAATTTATATTTAATAAAAAAAACTTTCACTTCATTAAAAACCTTGATTACAGTTTGCTCGAAGCCGTTATGCATAACGTAAAGCATTATATTTTTATATAAGTTACTGTAACCAAAAAATAAATGCACTATAATATTAGCATATTCCTTGTTACATCTAAAATTAGTCTGTCGTGTGTTTTAATGCATTATACTTTCTCAAGATGTAACCAAGAATAGATAAGAATTATAACTGTGGTTACAATTATTCATGAGATCAGAGACAATGCATTATAAAGTGCATTACAAGGTGTAATTAATGCATCAAAAATATTTTATATATATGTGTGTGTGTGTGTGTGTGTGTGTGTGTGTGTGTGTGTGTGTAGGCTTTATATAAAGTGCTACCAAAGTAATGCTTTTAATTATGCATGCAGGTTAAGTGTCAAAATCTTGTAAACACATTAATTAAAGCGTTTATATATACACACAATGCATTATAAAATTATTTTTCAAGCATTAATTATGTCTCGTCATGCATATTATAATGCATTGTTTGATCCTTGAATTATTGTTATAATACATTATAACACTTACAGTGGGGCAAAAAAGTATTTAGTCAGCCACCAATTGTGCAAGTTCTCCCACTTAAAAAGATGAGAGAGGCCTGTAATTTTCATCATAGGTATACCTCAACTATGAGAGACAAAATGAGAAAAAAAAAATCCAGAAAATCACATTGTAGGATTTTTAAAGAATTAATTGGTAAATTCCTCGGTAAAATAAGTATTTGGTCACCTACAAACAAGCAAGATTTCTGGCTCTCACAGACCTGTAACAACTTCTTTAAGAGGCTCCTCTGTCCTCCACTCGTTACCTGTATTAATGGCATCTGTTTGAACTCATTATCAGTATAAAAGACAATTAAACCACAACAAACAACCAATGCATGTTAACCTTGGTTACAATTATTTATGCAATGCATTACAATGCACGTTATGAATACCTTTATAATGCATTGCACATACAGGCGACTCTTTGAGTGCTTAATGAGAGCAAGAGAGCGAGTAACAGCAGTGACGAGAGAGTTTCTGACCTCGGCCACAGACAGCACGCAGAACATGGACGGATGCAGCGGGTCGATGCCTTCCAGCCGCATCCCCACCTTAAAGCCATTCCTGCTGTCGGGAAATGCCTGGAACTACAAGAGAAAACGCAAGCGCTCAGAGACAAAGAAGAACCGCCGGACATCTTCAAGGAGTTGCCATGGCAACCGCCTCCAGTGTTTCCGAGGGGAGCAGAAGACCAGTCGCATCCCTTCAGAAACAATCAGAGCATCGGTGCTCCACACGACGCAGACAGCAGCTGGAGGCGAACGACTCGATGCTGGGGTTCAGCGCATTTGGCCTACTATTACATTACATTCCAGTCTCTCTAAAAACAGTCATGACATTTATGCATCTGGCAGACGCTTCTAATCAAAGCCAATAAATTTGATCAGCTCATGCTTTCACTGGAAATCAAACCAATGACCTCAGCATCATAAGTGCTGCACTAAAAGACTCATTTTACGCATTCATTGCAACCAAAGTTAATTTTAAGGGATAGGCAATTTCTTCATCAGGTTTGGATAAATGTAGCACTGCATCAGTGTCTCAGCAGTGGATGCTCTGCAGTGAATGGGTGCCGTCAGAATGAGAGCTGATAAAAACATCACAATAATCCACAAGTAATCCACAGCACTCCAGTCCATCAGTTAACATCTGGAGAAGACAAAAGCTGAAACTAATCCAGCATTAAGACGTTTTTAACTCAAATGCGAGTCCATAATCCATAATAACGCTTCCTCCGGTGAAAAAGTGTTCTAGTGTGAATCAGGAGAGAAATAATATGTGGCTGGATTTTGACGTGAGAGACAACAGGAGATGCACTTTTTCACTGGAGGAAGCGTTATTATGGATTATAGACTCAATGTATTTCAGTTAAAAACATCCTAATGCTGGATTTGTTCAGGCGTTCATTTGAAATGAATCTGCATCAGAGTGATATTTGGCTGTGTTGAGAGTGAATCTGTACCTCAGTGAAGAGCTGCAGAGGAGCGGCTTGAGATCGCTCGTCCTCCAGATACTGATCCCAGGACCACGGCTTCTTCTTGCCGCTCGCCGCTGCGGAAAACACACGCAAACATCATGAAATACAGAGCAACATTAGACACACTAGATAACATGAAGCCAGACTCATCGGCACAGTGTGTGTTTTTATGAAGCACGCAAGAAGATTCTGTTTCCTGCCTTGTGAAGTAGAAACTTTATTCTTCATCTTTGTGGCTTCGTCTTTCGGTCGCTCCTGAGAGGAAGCAGAAAGTCTCATCAGTGCGTTCTGAGAGTCACTGAAGATCAGAGGTCAGGGGTCAGAGGTCAGGGTACTCACACGCAGACTGTACTCGTCTGACACGCTTCTGGGGTTCAAACTGTGCTTCTTTCTCTTGCGGTCTTCACTCTGCATCATTAGAGATCGCTCTGCAAAAATACAGGAAAAATGTGAAATGTTTTTATGCCATTTTCTGTGTGAATATCTATTCAATTGTAATGTATTTCTGTGATGCGCAGCTGTATTTTCAGCATCATTCCTCCAGTCTTCAGTGTCACATGATCTTCAGAAATCACTATAATACGCTGATCTGCTGCTCGAGAAACATTTCTGATTATTATCAATGTTGAAAACAGTCGTGCCGCACAATATTTTTGTGGAAACTGTGATGCATTTTATTTTTCAGGATTCACAGATGAACAGAAAGTTCAGAAGAACAGCGTCTATTTGAAATAGAAATCTTTTGTAACAATAGAAATGTCACTTTTCATCAATTTAATGCATCCTTAAAATTAATATTAAACACAATGTTGATGTACGGCTCCTTGTAAAGCCTGTAAAATAAGTAGTATTTAACTCTGCTAGTTTTACAGTCTCTGACTCCAGCAGACCTCATTAAAGCCGGTTTGCAGTGAGCTGGATTTCCCAGAAGGCCGTTCAAAGCGACGGCGATGGATTACAGAGTTTAGAGAGTCACTCCTGTGAAAACTCACTTCAGCTCACATCTGGATGACTAGTTAGTTACTCTTATAGAAGCTTTGGTGCAATTAGCCTGGGTCGAGATGTCAACTAGATGTTGTTGTTGGGTAACTAGTAAAGAACAACAATTTCGATTATCAACAACAACAACACCACACGTAATTATTCTAACAAAAAAAATAAATAAATGTGACTGTGATTTTAAATCCTAAAAGAGCTCCAGGTTTGCTGCACAATTTCCCCCAAAAATGAAATATATATCATATAAATACGTATAAATCAATTAGTGCTGACAAACGATTAATCGCATCCAAAATACGTTTTTGTTTACATAATATATGCGTGTGTACCGTTTATTTATTATGTATATATAAATACACACATTCAGAATATATTTTGAAAATATTTACATGTATATACATTTATATTTTATATTATATATAAATATATTTAATATATGAACATTTTTCTTAAATATATACATGCATGCGTGTGTATTTAAATATGCATAATAAATATACACAGTACACACACATATATTATGTAAACAAAAACTTATTTTGTTGGCTGCGATTAATCGTTTGACAGCACTAATTTAAATATGACTGTTATTTTTTACAATTTATTTAATTATTTTAACAATATATATATATACACATACACACGCACACACACACATATATATATATATATGTATAGTTAGATGATGAAATAAAAAAACACAACAAAAAATATTACCATTGTAATGTAAAACTTATAATTAAATTTTTTTATTATATATTTTTTAATAATTAAATTAAAGCAACACAATTAAATATTATACAATTTTATACAATTAAAATTTTCTATTTAAATGTAGTATTTGAAAATAATAATTTTATTTTACAGTACACCTACTAATATTTGTTGTCTTTTTACATTTCCAAATGTTAAACCAAAGAGCTTATAATGTGACCAAAAAAATGTTTGGTTGTTGACAAATTTACGTAAATATTTATATGCACATTTTTGGCAATCAATGTTATTAACAGATGCTGAACTCTGGGAAGAAAAAAGTTGCATAGAATTACTTAAATCAAAGATTTGATAATTACACAAGGGCATTTTGTGATTTCAGTTTTACTTTAATTAATCTTTCAGTAACTAGTCACGTGGTTTAAGCGCTCTCCTGACTAAACGAACATCTCTGGCTGTACTGAATGCATTCTGACGGCTGTTAATATTTCATAACGTGAGCTAGAACAGCATCAGCACAGCATCTGAATCAGAACAGCATCAGAATAAAAACAAGCATCAGAGATGCATTGATAAATCAGAACTGACCGGCTGCTGTCCGCAGTCAGGGGTTCAGCCCAAACGCGTGCCGCTCAAACACAGGCTTCATCTGCCCCGGATCACCTACAGGACCTGAGAGAGACCAGCCACGTCAGATTACTGCACATCCACCCATCAGACGAGAGACGCGGCAGAAACTAAAACCATTCAAAACAACCGCTTCATAACTTGAAATAAAATAAAGGTTAATGTAAAATATAAAAACAATTAAACTTCAAATTAAACTAATTTTATTTTATCTAGTTGTCAAGGCAACATTACTCATTTTCATTTAGTTTATCTTGAAGTACTAAAATAACAAACTAAAACTGAAATAAAAAATAATAAAAAACAACCATAGACACTAAAAAGACAAGCAAAAATTTAATCTAATCAAATCAAATGAATGATTTTTTAAAAATAATAAAAACTATAGACAAATTACTCTACAAAACATAACTTTAGTTAAAATAAAAAATATAAACAAAATAAAAGAAAAAAATATAAAAAACTTTTTTTTTTACTCAATTTCTATGCAATAAAATATATATTCATAACAAAAATACCCAAGCTGTTTTAATATTTTATTAATTGAATTTCTAATCTAGATTTAGAAATCTTAGGCTTTTTCATATATCCATGTTTTCCAAGACCAAAAGAAAGAAAGAAAGAGAGAAAAAAGAAAGAAAGAAAGAAAGAGAGAAAAAAGAAAGAAAGAGTGAAAAAAGAGAGAAAGAAAAAGAAAGAAAGAAAGATAGAGAGAACAAAAGAGAGAAAAAAGAAAGAAATGAACAGAAAATATTTTTTAAATTACATATACATATTACACACATTATATTATATACACAGACACTTTAAATAAACAACTGAATTGTATATTTAAAAATATAAAATATATTAATTAAAAAACTGTTAATAAAGACATATGTAAACACTTTTTTTAATGCTTGTCTCTTAAGTAAATATTAAGTCCTCTTGTGGCACTTGGACGTGTGCTGAGGCCCTCTAGTGGCCCCCGGAGCCCTGCTTGAGAAATCATCAGTCTGTCATCTTCCTGATGTCCACATGACAGTAACAGCTGCAGCGATCAGACGAGTCAGAGACACACAGCTGCTCTCCTCAGATAATCAGAGAAGACACTCACGACTGAGACCAGAGTCAGTCCACTAATGCCGAGTTCACACTGCACCATTTTAGCCCGATTTTTCACTCGGCGACAGGTTTTGGAAAATCGCCGACAAATGCCCGACATCGGAGGCAAATCGGTGCTCGTTCCCGCAGTGTGAATTATCAAAGACGCGATCTGAGGGAATCGCGGACACGTCGCCGACGCCCGTGAAATATTTGGCATGCTAAATATCGCCGATAAGCTGTCGGCGATTTACAATCACGCTGTGTGAAATGAGTTCTGACTGAAAAACACATCGGCGATGACCTACAGCCAATGAGAGAGCACGATACAGGGCAGCGGGAAGTTCGGGGAGGAGTTATATGAAACGTAGTTTGCGGACCAGTGTTGCCAAATCTGCGATTGCCGCCCGTTTTGTTTTTTATGTCAGCAGGTTGAAGCGACCCCAATAACGTGATATTTAGGCCCTGGAATGTGAATTGTACTTGGAGAACCCCGCCACAAAAATGTGTATTTTACCCCCGAATGCGATTTTTACTGGGGGACCCCTCAAAAGCAATTGGGCTATTTTCAGGCTAGTTTTGAGTAGTAATTGGGTGGGTTTTGTAGCGAAAACCTGGCAACCCTGCACCAGACAGAGCTGTCGGCGATTCTTCCTATGGTGAAGTCATGCAGTGTGTAACCTCCTGTCGTCGTTCCATCGTGCAGTGTAAACACAGCAGCAACTGAATGCTACCCCAGATAGTCACGCACCGTGAAAACAACAGTGATGCGACGAGTTTGAAAATCGTGAAGTGTGAACTCGGCATAACTCAACACATTTCAGCTCACGCTCTTCTCAACATCATACGGATATTACACAGCAGAAATACAGCTAGGGCCAGGTAGGGCTGGGCGATATAGCTATAGGTACCTATATATAGGTATCGATAATTATTGACATTTTTTATAACCTTTTTAAAACAAAGAGCAATAGAAAAAAAGTCTTAAATTTAACCACTGTATTTATAATTAACAATTTATTGAGACAGACAACAAATATTTTTAGTTTTAACAGTCAAACACAATAAAAATGAAACAAATATCTAATTTCTAATGTTTTATATGCTGATTAAATAGGTCTTTATTGTATAGGTCTAATTGGCGCAATGAGCAAAATAATGCAGCGCATTTAAATTGTCAACGCAAGGAAGTAACTATAAAAACATGCATTAACTCAAATAAATCAAATATAATTTTGTAAATTGCATGAACAATTATGAACAAAACAGCATCATGTATTTATGCATTGCTTAATACAAAGAGCCGAAGCGCCCATCACACAGACTGCATTTAAAAACATACGAGACGCAGTGAAAAGGAATAAACCTCCACAAATTCGTGACGTGTTTTCTAAAAGTTTAAACTGCTTTCACTGTGCATGGCTACATCTCTTGTGTGAGACGCGAGTGCAGCGGTCGTATTTGTCCGTCTAAAAATTTGTTGAATAAGCATTCTGTGTGAATAGCTTGGTTTCGGTTTTAACCTAAATCAAGATCTTCTCCGCATTGAGCTTCTATATTTCTCTAATATTTTGAATGAATAACGCAGCAGCGGCGCGTCTCGTGGGCTAGACTAACAAAACATTAAAATGCAACAACGTCACTTACAACATCATCACAGCCTCTCGTGTGCCCTGACGCACACCTAACATTCAAATGCAAATGTTTATTTTAAATTCGACTAATATTCATTCTTTATTCACAATCTCCTCATCACAGGCAGGCACAGCACTCAGCATGTGTTCGTGTTTGTGTGTGCTGTCTGCGTCACTCAGAGCACGTGCCTCGTGCGCTATATCGAACAATTTTTCTATCGATATCAAAGAAGGTGATATCGATACCGTTTTATCGTCCAGGCCTAGGGCCATATATATTTGGACACTGACACAATTTTCATAATTTTGGCTCTGTATGCCACCAGAATAGAATTAAAATGAATCAATCAAGATGAAATTGAAGTGCAGACTTTAAGCTTTATTCAAGGGGTTGAACAAAAATATAACATAAAATGCTTAGGAAATACAACCATTTTATACACAGTTCCCCCATTTTCAGAGGCTCGAATGTAATTGGACAAATAAATATAATTAGTGGTCGACCGATATTGGTTTTTTGACAGCCGATGCCGATATCTTGGAAAGCAGGGTGGCTGATATAATTTTATTTATTTTAATTAATATTTAAGAAATTTGAAATCATTTGAAAATGGATTAAAAAATAAATTAGTAAAATAAACATACTTGTACTTTAGATGACAAAGTATTATAAATTATAAAAATATAATTAAAAAGGAAGTAAACACTGTAACCAACAGGGCACTCAGTAATCTGGGAAGTTTGTGTGCATTGGGAGTCATATTTTTTTCAAATAAAGCCAAGGTAACACTCATTTTACATACAGAACACGGTGAAAATGACATGAATATGACAGAGGGTAAATGCATAAAGCGCAGCATAATTTGAAATCACAAATTTTATGTTTAAAGCATTCAATTCGCACGGACCGAAAGTCACGCAGAGAACACGCGATCATGCAGGTCACATGCACACTTCACAAGATCTCACAGCTGCATTCGACTAAGTCTGCAAGGTTTGTGAAATTAAATGTTCATTAGCCATTCAAAGATTTGTTTAAATGGCATCAATGCGTATTTGCAGAATGCTGAAGGCAAACGAGAAAGTATTATATGTTTGCCTTTCTATTACTAATAATATAAAAGCAATTGTTATAGTACGCCGTCAAAATAAAAGTCCTGCCTCGACTGCATTGGCCAAACAGAAAAACTTATCGGCCGATGCCAATATTTGAAAAATGCCAAATATCGTCCGATATATCGGCCTTGGCGATATATCGGTCGACCACTAAATAGAATCATAAATAAAATGTTCATGTTTAATATTTTGTTGAGAATCCTTTGACTGCCTTGCGTCTGTAACTCATGGACATCAGCAGAGACTAGGTTTCTCTTTTGTGATGTTTTGCCAGGCCTTCACTGCAGCTGACTTCAGTTGTTGTGTGTTTGTGTCTCTTTCTGCTTTAGTTTTGTCTTCAGCGAGTGAAATGCTGCTCAATCGGGTCGAGATCAGAGATTGACTCGGCCATCGCAGAATAATCCACTGTTTTACCTTCTAAAGCTCCTGGGTTGCTTTTGCTGTGTGTTTTGGGTCATCGTATATTTGTACTATGAATAGGGCCCTATGATTTCTGCGATGCGGAAAACGCGGAATCCAGTCATAAAAACAGAATTTACTGAATAACGTGGAATGTCACGGAATTTGTCAAATTTTGAATGAATTAATCAAAAGTAGGTCATTACACTTAAATCAAATTGCCATATGGACTAGTATCTGTAAATATTAAGCCACAAAAAGACTATTTAAACATGAATCCTGCATGTTCTGCGTGTCTCTGTGTGAATGAATCAAGACACGCGGTTTTGTTTACTACACAATACTCTCTAGGGGACATAAATACATGAACATCATCTCCAGAACTGCTCTGAGTCACTAGCGTCATATCTTACATACACAGAATTGTAAAGGTAACTTGAAGACATTGAGCCAGAAATACATTATTGTTTGAATGTACATACTACTACTACTACTACTAGTACTAATAATAAAATTATTAAAACTTTTGATAAAACATTTGATATCCAGTGAAATTTAAATACACAACAGAATTTCTGAGGAAAATAAAAACATTTTATAAGGCTATTGTAAGAATACATTTGAATAAATTAAGTTGTTGAAATCGAAATATACAAAATACGAAATGTGAAGATTTTTCAGTTTATATACACATATCAGCTTTAATGCACTCACCACAATAACAAAAGCAGCCTACGATCAAGTTTCAGAACAGATCAGGGTTTGTGGGGGTTTTCTGATGGCTCTGAAGGGAGAACACAAATTACAAAAATATTTAGTGAGAAACTGTGACGTGAAAGGGCAAAATAGATGCTATTTTTGGAATCGGTGCTTAAAATGAGTTTGAAAAGAGTACTGGATTTCATTCGGTAGATTTTATGCATCATTAAAATCAAGTCAAACCACCAGACAATGTGCAGAAACACTGACTAACACCTTCCCAGAAGCTGATCTAATGGATTTCTCCCAGAGAATCTCCCAGCATCCTTCAGGGAAACGGCCCCGGCGTCAGCGGTGTTTCTGTCACACGCTTTCCTCCCATTCAAACCGCAAACAATAGAAACGCTGCGACTCTCTGCGGTTTCATCCTACAGACGCACGATTCTAATAAAACTTTGAGTCAACAAAACCTTCAGAACTAGAGACGCAATAAACACAGGAGAGCCAGATTAAAGGCACAGCTCACTCACAAAATCGTCATTCTGTCATCATCTAATCAGATTCATGTCATTCAAAACCTGTTTGATTTTCTCTCTTCTGTGAAAAAGAGAAATTTTAAAGAATGTGCTCGTCATTCAGTTACAACAAACACAGACTGAAACTCCAAAAATGACAAACAAGCAGCATAAAGAATCATAACAGCAGTCCAAATGACTCATATGATGCTTTACATGCGACACCGACTGATGAGAGAAATAGTGATGTTTGATTGATGAACCATTTTCAAGATCATTTTGAATCGGTTGATTAACTTCACAAAACCTGCTTAAATGACTCACTCACAAATAGGATTGATCCAGTTCTTGAATTCAACTCACTGATTCAATGAATATTTTGAATCAGAATCAGAATTAGCTTTATTCGCCAGGTGTGTGCAAACACACTAGGAATTTGTTGGGGTTTTTTTTTTTACCAGGTGCTCCTGTTACATACACACATGCATACAAACATACATACATACACATCTGACATGATAACAGAAAAAAAACATTTAAATAGTAAGACTTAACAAAAAACAATGTGTATGAATCTGGAACAGCAGATTTATGTACAGATTTGTGCATTTGTACTCTATATAGAACTGTATAAATAAGAGATATCCATATGTATTTACATAATACTTGAGAAAAAGGCAATAATTAAAGATGTAGAATGAATTACGGAAATGAATTACAGAACACAGGTAATGATTCATGTGTTAGCTGTTTAAGCTGGAGATGGCATTGGGGAAAAAACTGTTTTTATGCCTAGATGTTCTAGTGCGCAGAGATCTGTAGCGTCTGCCTGAAGGGAGAAGTGCAAACAGGTTGTGTCCGGGGTGAGAGGGTTCTTTGATGAGGTTTCCTGCCCGTTTCTTCACTCTGGAGTTGTACAAGTCCTGAAGACTGGGCAGGTGCACACCAATGATCCTTTCTAGGGGTCGACCGATTATCGGCGCCGATATTAAGCATTTTTATCTTCATATCATTTACATAGACCTACAGAAACAAGTTCCTCATGGCAACCCGTTAAAATATAAGTTCGGGTTAGCTTAATGAAATTATTAGAAATATATTACTGTGGTGCAGTATGATGTACATAATACTACTCGGGGATGAAAGTTTTCCGTCGCTATGACGGATTTCCGTCAATTGGAAAAAATGAAGGGAAAAGAAACATGTAGCACATTGTTGTTGCTCTGCCGGTGTCCTGACGATTTGTTGGTAGCATAATCTGATAGGTAGCATTATTTGTCAGAACACCAGCACACCAAACATCCCCCCCGCCACGGCTGCAGCTTCTCACTGACAACATAATGCCGCTCGCATCATTCACAGTCGGGCTATTAGCAGAGAACACAGAGCAGGGCTTGAATTTCAGGCGCAGGATTGCGGCTATTAATAATAATTCTACTCATTCCAGCAATTTCCGCGCTTATAACGCGATGACAGATGACGGATCTTATCATTTGCACGTGCTTTTGAGTCTTGAGAACTCTCATTTTCTGTGCGCCCACAGATAAGGAGAGTGACAGATTTGTATAATTATTCAAGGAGTTTGCAAATGTGATATTGATTTAATACAACAGTTCAATAAACACGT